CCCCCCCCCCAAAATAAGTTTTTACACTGTGATTTCAACATTTCACGGTGCTTTTTAAACAGATAGGAAATAATTTTGCATTGTTTAATAAAAAATATTTAAAAATGTTTCAAAATGTTTTGTGGGGCACTTTTAACCCTTAGAATTCCATAGACGCATATATGCGTTTGGTAAAAATTACTAATGACCAGAGTGATCTATCGTCGCATATACATGTTTGTTAATATTAATGTAAAATAGTATAATTTTTCTATTAATTAATTAAATAATATTCAGATAAAGACTTTAATTATTAAAAATAATTTATTATTAGAATCTAGTTAATAATAAATTATTCCGTTCTTATAAAACATTTTAATGAAAAGTATTCACCACTCAAAGGGTTAAACATCGTTTACTAAAACTATATTTCATTTAAATCGAATATACAATAACATCGTTATTTATTTAAATAACTAAAATATAATATAATTTTTGAATATTGAATATTTTAAATATTTTAATATAATAATAAAAATATTTATTTAATTGTAATAATAATTCAATACTTTTTCTACAATGATAAATAAAATTTCAATAAATATTTTGATATAATTAAACGTTAACTGTACTTGTAATCACACTAGTGGTCTCGTTTAAACAGATAGGATATAATTTTGCATTGTATAAAAATTGTTTTAAACAAAAAATGTTTAAAAATGTTGAAAAATGTTTTTGGGAAGAACCCTTAAACATCGTTTACTAAAACTACATTTCATTTAAATCGAAAATACAATAGCATTAAATATTTATTTTAAAAACAATTCATTATTTTTTCTATAATAATAAATAAAATTAAAGATTAAATATTTTGATATAATACAAAATAAAATTAGAATAAATATTTGGATATAATAATACGTTAATTGTACTAGTAATCACACAAGTAGTGCTTTTTAAACACATAGAAAATAATTTTGCAGTGTTTAACAAAAAATGTTTATAGGGTTACCTTTAAACATCATTTACTAAAACTATAATTCATTTAAATCGAAAATACAATAACACAAAATATTTATTTAAATAACAATTCATAAATTTTTCTACAATGATAAATAAAATTCTGATAAATATTTCAATATAATACAAAATAAAATTGTAATAAATATTTTGATATAATAATACATTGACCGTAGTTGTAATTTACGTACCATGAGATGACCTCAAGTACGGTCAAGTTATTTCTGTAGTATTCAGACGTGTGTACGCACGCGTATTAACAGAACGAGTGTGACTCTGTCTGCCTAGTCACGGTTTTACACGAATTAACAACACACACACAAACACACACACACACAGGCGTTATATTTAAAAACATTTTCAAATTCTATTAACTTGTTTATCTTCTCGTAATTTTTGATGATTGAAACATTTTCATTTAGATCGCAACAGATGCTGAAAAAGCTCGAGCGGCCGAATTACGGATTCAACATGAGAATCATGAGGCCGAACTCGCTGCATTACGAAAATCTTTGAGAAGCGAAACGATTAAAATGGTGAGTTTACAAATAAATAAATTTTATTATATTTTAGAGAAATATAAAATCAATATTTTAATATTTAATTGTTATATTATATTAATTCAAAATTTGAAATATATAAATTAATAATATTTTAATATTTATTAATTAATATATTATTATTTATTTATTAATTAATTAAATATATAAATAAATAATTTCTTAAATATAAAATATTAAAAATAAAACATTAAATATATAAACTAATAATATTTTTTAAATATAAAATATTAAATATATAAATTAATGAAAAAAATATTTTAAATATAAAATATTAAATATATAAATTAATAATATTTTAATTATAAAATAATAAATATATTAAATATATAAATAAATAATATTTTAAATATAAAATATTAAATATATAAATTAATAATATTTTAATTATAAAATATTAAATAAAAAATATTAAATATATAAATAAATAATATTTGTTTAAAAAAAAAAATTAAATATATAAATTAATAATATTTTAATTATAAAATATTAAATATACAAATAAATAATATTTTAAATATAAAATATTAAATATACAAATAAATAATATTTTAAATATAAAATATTAAATATATAAATTAATAATATTTTAATTATAAAATATTAAATATATAAATTAATAATATTTTAATTATAAAATATTAAATATATAAATTAATAATATTTTAATTATAAAATATTAAATATACAAATAAATAATATTTTTTAAATATAAAATAATTAATATATAAATAAATAATATTTTTTAAATATAAAATATTAAATATATAAATTAATAAAAAAAATATTTTAAATATAAAATATTAAATATATAAATATATAATATTTTAAATGTAAAATATTAAATATATAAATTAATAATATTTTAAATGTAAAATATTAAATATATAAATTAATAATATTTTAAATATAAAATATTAAATATATTATATTAATTAAAAAAATATTTAATATTTTAATATAATACAAATTTTCATTGTAAATTGTCTTTCATTCATAATGATAATCGAACTCTTCTGATTTGTCCTATTACGATTTTCGATACACACACAAAAAAGGGAATGAAAGGGAAGAGAAGATGAAAAAAAAAAAAAGAAATAAATAAAAGATGAGCTTGAAAAGATCAAAATCTAATTCTCTCACGAGAATGAAGAAACAGAAATTGCAAGGAACGCGAAAATTCGTTCAATCGGAAGGTGCTTATTAAAAAATTGTGCCCTCCAGGTCTAGTTTGGGATCGATGGTAAAATTATTGACCATTCTTTCATCCTATAACCCACATTATCTTGATGGACAATATTTTGTTGTTAGTAGGACGAGCAATTTTGTTTTGTTGGGGTCTCTCTTTTGCCATTATACGAAATCTTCGAATATTTCCCACGCTATTTATAGTTAAGGGTATAGTATTATTTCTGTGAATGGCCACTACTCGTTGAGAGAGAGAGCCAACCCATCAAAGACGTTTTTCATAATTCTTCTCGTAATAAGAACGAGACCCTTGATGTACTACTGCATCGATGGTCTTTGGTCTTCGTGATCAATTTATTTTAACCAACGGTACTACTTTTTTTCTTCATTTTAATAACTCGTTCAAGAACAAAATTAGTATCTAACGTTAATTTATGTAGAATGATATTTTATGAGTAATTAATTGTACATATTATTTTATTTTATTTGTATATATTAGCTGTGCGTCACCATAAGTTGCTGTGACTTAGTTTGATTATTAAATTATTATTTATACATAAGTTTTTATAATGTTACACATTCCTCCTATCAGAACTCGATTTCTGTCTTTTCGGTCCTTTGTGGGAACCTTAATCTTTTCTTAGACAAGAAAACGTAAAAACGGAATTTTTCTTGTAGCAGATAACCTAACTTGCCGCCTCCCTCCTTTAGAAGACGATACAAAATAATTTCATTCAATTTCAACACAGTGTAATACAAAATAAAATATTAGATGACGATACATAATAATTTCATTCAATTTCAATACAATGTAATATAAAATGAAATATTAGAAGACGATACAAAATAATTTCATTCAATTTCAATACAATGTAATACAAAATGAAATATTAGAAGACGATACAAAATAATAAAA